AACATCGAATTACTCCAGTCAGCAAATTGAAAATTCCTACAATAAAGGAAAGAATCACAAACTCAAATTATATCTAAATATTGGATACTACAGAACAAAACAATAGGTAGCAAGGCGGCCTTCCAATTAATGGTACAACTACAAATATGAAAAACATCTTATCCTTAGCAACTCGAGAAGTCATACTAAAAGATTCAAGCATGAGTTATAGCCTAGACTCTCCAAATTGAGAAGTGAAAATCTAGATCTGTGTGAAAAAACAAAATAGAATCGAGTATATTGTTCAGTTCAAGCAGAAAACATTTCTAAACAACTTGCAAACGTCTTAACAGCTTAACCTTTACCCCAATCCCAAAACATAAATCCTAAAATTTAAATTCTCTAGACAAGAAATCCCAACATTCAGTATTCATATCGCTCAGAGAAATCAATAACAACCATATACATTTAACAACAAATTTCTCAATAGAAAAACAAAATCAAACTCGAAGGACACCAATTGATTGATAATTTACAGAAAACTACTGAAGTTTCTTAATCTATCAATCAATTGATACAAAAACAATCGTGCAAGCTCAAGCCCTTACCTCAATAAGAATCGTCAAAAAAGGGGAGTGGAGCAATAAATTTTACCAGAATTCCTAGAGCTTCATATAATTATAGAAAAAGAAAACTAAAAACAAAAGAAGCATTTTTCAGGAAAAAAAAAATCCAAATTCCTCCGTGAAACTAGTGCCACAATTCTCAAGAATTATAGCAACAAAATTTAAAAAAAAATCGATAGAATCCTAGACTGGAGCAACCAATTTTATCAGGTTTTTTTGGAAAAAATTAAAAGATATTCAAGACAAAGCCCTAAATAAGAATCTTACCCAAGGCACCTTGCCAGAGTTGTAGATGGTTGCCATCAGAAATGATCATATTGTTGGTGATTTCTCAGTCTCTCCAATCTCCATTGCTCACTCTCTGTATCTTTAGCCGCAAAGTCTTTGTTTGTTTTTGTTAGAATGTGGGAGTAGGGAGCTTTATTGTAAAGTGCAAGAGCCGCTCATTTTAATGAAGGAAAATAACTTCAGTAAGTCAAAAGGGGAAGTTATTTTCCACCAAGTGAAGTAAAATATATTCCCTGTGTAAATCTTTTTCCAAGATAAAATGATTACCAAACACGGGAAAATTTGGAAAACATTTTCAGGAAAACATTTTACATCCAAACAAACACACCCTTAATTCCTCTTTTTTTTTTATCAATTTCTAAAATTGCACCCAGTGTGTGCATCCTTCTCCTACTTTTGTTATAGAAACCGTGGCCATAGAAGTTACCAATTGGAAGGAAAGTGACACTCGCAGTCTAAAATTAGTCTTTGGTGCTCCAACAATGCTTTTAAATATTTTATGATATAATTGCCCTTAAGCGGCAAACAACCCTAGAATATCGGGCCTATTTGGAAGTCTAGTTTTTTAGCAAGTTTGTATTATACTAGTTTTTAACAACTTTTGCTACAGGAACCCCAAAAATTTATCAAAGTTTTTAACCTACACACTTAAAATATCCAAAATACAAAAAAAAAAAAAAATTCCCTTCCCCTTTTCTTCTTCTTCCTCCCCCACCACCACCTTCGTTGCCGGCCACCACCTCCGGCGCCGGTTCCGGTGCCGATCACCTCTTCCGGTACCGGTCTTCTTTTTTTTTTTTCCTTTTTCCCTCTCCTCCTCTTCCTCCCCTGCCATCCTCTCTTCTGTCTTTTTTTTTCTCTCTGCGTCTCCCCCACTCCTCCCTCACAACCCTTCCCTTTCCCCTCTGGCCAATCTGATCGCGAGACCAGATTGCACCAGGGGAAAGTGAGGGTGGCGGGGGAAGGGGAAGAGAGGGGGAAAAGAAAAATTGCCCAAAAAAAATTATTTCACTGCTTTATCTGCCGGCAAGAGTAAGGAGAGGAATGGGGAGGAGAGGGAGAGGGAAAATGTGAAAAAAAAGAAAAAAATTAGAAATGCTGAGAAGCGGGAAGAGGAACAGGGGAGCGGGAAGGGGCAGAGGGGATGGCGGGACAGAGGAGGAAGGGGTAGAGAGGGGTGGTGGGGGAGAGGGGAGGAAAGGGATGGCGGCCCAAGGAGGGTGGCGGGCAGAGGGGAGAGGAAAGGGATGGTGGGGAAAGGGGAGGAAGGGGTGGCGGGGGAGGGAGAGGGAGGGGGGAGAGAAGAAAAGCAAAAAAAAAAAGTTTTATGTGTTTACAGAGGTAGTTTCGGGAGAGGGAACAGGGGAGGGGGTAGGGGAAGGGAGAAAAAGGGGGAAGGGAGGAAGGAAAAGAAAAAAGAAAGAAAGAAAGAAAGAAAAAGAAAAAGAAAAAAAAGTTTTTTCATCTTACAAAAGTTTTTCTACAATTTCTACAGTGATCTACAGTAAAATTTTATACAAACACCCAAAAAACTCACCTTCCAAACAGGCCCATCATTTGTTGGTCTCATTCTCCTTGAACAAATAACTGGCCCCATCAAGAGAACAACCCTAAGATAATTTGGAAAAGCTAAAAGGGTCTTAGAATAAAAGGTCACTTGGTGGCTGGGATGAGGAGATCAACTGATTGAACTCAACTGAAGGATGAGCATCCCGTCGGCCTCTGTATTAGTCAAAGACGTCGTTAATTTACTGCACGAGAAAGGAGAAAAATACTCGAGGACAGCAGCAAGCGATGAAATAAACGGGCTTGTTTTAGAACTATTTTTGCTCCAGAAATTAGTGGAAGAAATTGACAAGGAACAACGAATTCATGATTGGTTGACAGAAGTAGAGAAAACCTGTTATGATACGGAAGATTTAGTGTTCGAAAACCAAAGCAAGAATGCTGACTTTCTTTCTCTCGGAGCCATCAAAAGGTGGTTTTTCTCTGACATAGATGATGATTTTCTGTGGCAAATTTCCCTGCTCAGAAAAAGGATCAGACACCTGCTGGGAGTCGGGGAGCTTTTGTCACAGGGCCAGCAAAACAACAGGCCTCCCCTACCTTGTGGTTCACGCCAGAAGAAGGATTCAGTTGTTGTTGGATTAGTCAATGAGTTGGACTTCCTTTTGAATCGGATTCTTGAATCGAAATCGGATTCTTTTTCCCCCAACGTAATTTCCGTGATGGGCATTCGTGGTTTGGGGAAGACAACCCTTGTGAGAAGATTATATAACCATGAGTCATTGTATCGCCATTTTGAAGCTTTTGCCTGGGTTTCATTGGGCACTTCGGCACAGCGTGACTTTGACCAATTGTGGGGAGCTTTAGGTTCTATTCTTAAGCAACTTGTGATAGAGCAGTTATTTGGCACATTTTACATTGTCATCTTGTCCTAATTTTGGCTATTCACGGTGCTAAGAAAGGGAATTTCACTCATATTTGATATTTGTGTGAATTGTAAGTGGTTAGCATTAAAAATGGTATCTTGAGGTAAATTTCCAGAAGACCTTTCATTTCAGGGCGTGGTCACGCCAGACAAGGCGGACGCTACCGAAATGCCGGACCCCGGTCCACGTGAACCGCGAGGAGCACGGGATTAAAACTCCAAAAGGCTAGCTTTTGTTTCAGTCAATTGGGTCAGACGTGACTTGGCTCTTAGAGGCTTCAATTAAAAAAAGAAAAGAAAGGGCCAGATGTCGGAGGAATGAGAATGAGGAAACTAGGTCCACATGGACCAGCTACACGGGATAAAAACTCCAATGAAGAGAAGAGCTCTGCTCCGCGTGGATTTCCCCTGCGGCGCTATATAAGACAACAAAAAAGGGGACGCAGGGGGAGGATAGATTAGCTTTGATTTTCTTTTCGAGAGGGGTCAGACGATTGCAGACTTTTGTAGCTTTTCGGTTGTGACACTTTGACTCCTTGGTTTTTGTTTTGACTCTGCACAATTTACGTTAGCTTTTGTTCGTACACTTGCAGCTCCAAAGCAAAGACGAAGGCAGGGCCTTCTCTGTTGTTACTGCAATTAATTTCCCTTTCCCAATTCTTCGTCGAATAATTGAATGATTTCAATTAAATCACGCGGGATTGGCACGATGAGGAGCGGCTAATTTTCTTCTCTACCCAAAGGTTGACGCGAGGGCGCGGTCCATAATATCTGTGAGATCTAATCGAATCTTCATTAATTCTTCCAGTTTATTGCTATTCGTGCGTTTCCTGAATTAATTGTTCATGGGTATTTTATTAATTGAATATCAACGGCCGGGTATTTGATTTAATTTAATAGCCTACTGCCACGTTAATTAAATAGAATCCGTAATTGTTCATTTAGTTAACATCTCGTGGCAACCACCATAATTGGTTTTATGATGGGGAAACGCAAGATCTAATTTAAATAAACCCTCTTAGCGTGTTTATTGGTTAGGGTTGGGTTCTTCTAGTTTTAATGCAATTGGGTAATTAAATTCCTACGGTCGTACCTAGGGTTGTTATCTGGTTAGAGAAGCAGTCAATGGTCGTACCTTGACTGTCGAAAGAGTAAGGAAGAACTAGTTGTCAGAGCTTGTTGATAGCTATAACCAACCTAGTGATGAATGGACGAAATATCTTTGCATCGATGATCATTTAGCTGGACCGTGCCTGAGCAGTTGATCCTTTGGGTAGAATTTTATTAATTGCTATCTTTAGTAAATTGTGCTTTGTAAGTTAGTTTTGAATTTAGTTTGCTTTATGTTTATTCTTATTTTCTTTATTTGCCTCCCATTGAAAATCCCCCAATTTCATTCTATTGATTTGGAAAGAAATAATTTCCTACCCGCTCCCTGTGGAATCGACCCTACTTGCCATTGTATGCAAAATTAATATTTTTATAGACAAATCTGGTATATCGGATCAAGCAAATTCTTCGGGAACAGGGTGAATCAAGTAACCCATTGCACACCTAGGGTCCCTGCTCCAGTACTTGGATTTGTTCTATAATTAACTGTGGTGGTAATTAGGACTTTTTAGTATTTATTATTGCACAGGTTCGGCACCTGTAAACTTGTACCGGCCGCCAACGAGATGTTGAGAAACTCTTCTATTATGGGCATCACCGTCAACATTCGCAACCTACTGGCTTTTGCAAAATGCTTAGTGGTTATTGATGATTTGTGGTTACTGGATTACCTAGACTGGCTAAGTAGTTTTTGAGGAATTAGGGAAACAGCTAGTAAATTAGTAGCCACCACTCGGTTTCAGGAATTAGCAACATCCAATCCATCGATTGAACTTTTCAAGTTAAGGCACCTGACTAAAGAGGAAAGTTTGGAGCTCCTTGTTCGCAGAGTATGAGTGAATATCCCTGAAGGTCAGTCAGTTGTGTCCGTTATCATTATTTTCATAAATTCTTGCCGTCATTTTTATGTTACGGAGACGTGCAATCGATTTTTTAGATGCTATGAAGTTTAAATTTTTGACATTATTTATCTGGATGTGTTTGCATTTTGATGTGCAACAAAAATGGGCTATCATACTTTTAGTTGTGGAAAAGATTCAAGTCTTTAATAACACAGTCCGGATTTTTCATTTGATGCTTTCCCAAATTCAGTTAAGATTTTGTTGCTATATTTTTATGGTTGGGGATTTTGTGGCCGTTTCTCAATGCATATTGTTTTGTTTCTTCTGAATTTTTATTAGTTATTCTCATGTTCTTTCTTGTATTTCCTTTCATGGTGTTATTTATTTGCAGCAATAGCTAAATTTTTCGTTGTCTGATTTGGAGGATTATGTCTGTTTGAATTAACTTCTCCCCCTTTGCTAACAGATCCGCAGTTGCACGGGATGCTAGAATTTATTGTGAAAAGATGCAAAGGCATACCGTTGGCCATTAATGTGCTTGGAAGCTTGTTGGCAACAAAGCAGACATCAGGTGAGTGGAAGGCAGCTCTTCGCGCTATGGAGTTGTCTAACGTCCATCAAGAAGATAGTTTGCAACTGTTAAAACTGAAAATTTTATCTTTATGTTATGATGACATGCCACACCATTTAAAGCTTTGTTTCCTTTATTTGGGCCTCTTCTCTGAGCAACCAAGCATAGAGGTGGAAACACTATACCAGCTGTGGATGGCTGAAGGCTTTGTACAACCGAACAACGAAGAATCTGCAATAACAATGATGGATGCAGCGGAGCAGTATCTGGATGAATTAGCAACCAGAGGTTTTGTTGAGGTTAATGAAGCTGAGGTTCCGAATATCAGACGGTTCAAATCTTGTCGTCTGCATAGCATGATGTTAGACTTGTGTCTTCACAAGGCCAAACAAGAAATATTTTCTGAGGTTATAAGATCATGTCAGAGAAACGAAATCAACAAGTCTCCCACTCCATTCGGCAACATACGTAGACTTTCCATGAACGTTGGTGGGGGTTATCAGAGTGAAGATGTAATGGCCGTCTTGCTGAAAAATGCTTACATGCATCTTGGTTATCTTAGGTCTCTTCTTCTCTTAAAATTACCCCGACGTTTGGAGTTTGTAGAGTTTTCGGAGTCAATAAACTTGAAGTTGTTCCTCTTGCTTAGAGTTTTAAGATTTGATGGTTTTGACCTACGAGAGAGCAAATTTGTTGGAGAAGTTGGGAAATTGACATCTTTGCGATACCTAAGCTTCAGAGACTGTCGCCTAAACAACCTGCCATTAAGTCTTGGTGAGTTGTTGAACTTGCAAACACTTGATTTGCGAGTAGTAATAGATCGGATGGTTACCATACCAAACATCATCTGGAAGTTAAAAAGGTTGCGGCATCTTTATTTGCCTTCGAAATTTAATGCTCGAGAGGATGATAAGTTGCGTTTGGATAGTTTGGTGAACTTGGAGACGCTTGAAAACTTTGATACCAGTGCATGCAGTACAACCGATCTTCTCTTCTTGACGAGTCTTCGGAACCTAACAGCATCTGTTAAAGGGAATGCTAAGTCCCTACAGGGCATCATCAAACGCATAAATATGAACCAGAATTGCTTATGCCAAACCTCTATTCATGTAAGACGTTTCGACGCATTTACTGCAGAAGAGAGAAATTTGTCAATGAGCCAACTACTTGAGTGTCCCTCCCTTCATACGTTGCAGATCAAGGGATGCATGAGCATACTACCACATATAATTTGTTACAGTCTCACTCGCATAGTTCTAAGCCGCTCTGCACTTGTCAATGATCCTATGGCAACTCTGGGGAGGTTTCCAAATTTATGGGACCTTGTTCTAGAAGACGGAGCTTTTTTGGGAAAACGGTTGACTTTTGCATCAGGGGCATTTGGTCAACTCAAACATCTTACACTCTCAAATTTGCCAAAGTTGGAGTTCTTGATTGAAGAAGAAGGATCAATGCCCAATCTTTGTACCTTGCAGGTCGAAGGATGTAACAACCTTAAAGAGCTTCCAATCAGACTTCAGGAATTGCAGGGTAAGAATTCTTTGCAACCATCAATGTTGAAACTTCATCCTTGTGAGGGGGCGCCAACTTTGTATTGGAGTACGTGACACCGGATTGATATTGCATACTCAGGTCCTCCTGCTGTACTCCTGAAGCTACACAAGGTAGCTTGTTGCCTACAGTCAAACAATGTTATACAGATAGTACAACGGATCTTCTGTCCTACTTTCTATGCTAGTTTCTATTCTATTTTTTATTATATTACTATTTCTCGTTCATGAACATCATATTTTAGTTTTTTTTTGTTTACTTAGGATTCAATAACTAATAATTGAGTAATACACAAAATTTAACAAACTCAAAAAATCAAAATGCATAAAAAATATTTTTTTATGAATTTCTGTCGTATTTTTTAATTTTCTATTATATATTACTTCTTTGATATTGTTGTATTTATTTCTAACTCAATTAATAGTTATTGAATTTTAAAAAAATTAAAAAGAACTAAAATATGATGTTTATGATGGAGAAACAGCAATATTATAAAAAGTGGAACAGAAAGTGGTACAGGAAATGAGACACAAGCTCCGTTGCGAACAGATAATTAGCTAAAGTACATGCTCTTCCTCCTTTTCTACCAGATTCGAAAGTCTAGTTAATTTGTAAATGTTCGTACTTCCCTGCCTTTGGTTGTAGAAAAGCAATTGCTACAGTCTGGAGTACAAGCCAAGCCTAATTAAGTCTATTAATTTGTTGGAGTAACGAATATCCTTTTGCTTTGAATTGAAATATTAGTTGGGAGATAACTGCTCCAGTATTTGCACCAGAGTGGACGTCATGACTAATTTAAAAGGACGAGACTTCCAGATGTTTACCTTATTCAGCCTTGGACTTGAAGAAAAAATAGAACCAAGAAAGTTTGATTGGTGTTTTGTTGCTTGCCAAGGCGCTTATGAGAAGTTTGTTGACCTGCTGTTCTAAGGATTATAGGTTGTGCAAAAATTTCCTAAAAAAGAATGTAGCCTGTGCAAAATCAAGATTTTTTTTTTCATGAAGAGAACAAGTAACAGGAAGGAAATTTGTGTTCTAACTTTTCGTGTACAAACAAATTTGTGGATCCATATTTTTGTAACATCATTGCCATGCGACGTGGATCAATCCTCATATCTTATGCCCATTTTTGAGTGCCCAGTACTGTGTATTCTGAAGTCATGGTAGCATCATCTCATCATTTTTTTGACAGAATTACCACTGATGTATTAGTTTTCAAAGTTGCGAGTGCTTTGGAACACAAAATAATTCGGTGGTTCAAATTATATTGATTTGAATAATTTAGTGGCTGTTTCGATTTTTTTTTTTTTTTTGCCAATTTTTAAAGAAACAAGAGTTAAAAGAAGCAATTGTACTTCAATTGCATACATAGGTTGCAGTCTTAGCTTTGGCTCTTAGACAATCACTTAATTGAAACTTATGCAAAATTTCTTCAATAGCGAGACTAATTTTACAGTCATGACTCATGAGATACAGCTGATTGAGCAGCTCGAAGTTCCAGCTCGTGGACATATCACCAAATGCCATACTAGACTGCATCAATGAAAACGTAAAAGTTTCCATAAAACCAAGAAACTCTTATGATCTCCTTACCTGAGAACCTTCTTTGGTTCATAATGACAAACTAGGAACAAAGCACTGGGAAATACAAGGCAGGAAAATTTTAAGGCTGGGTGTATCAGTAATAAGGGGTGGCTGCAGATGTACGCAGGGTAGCTCTGTTTGCCGAATTCGAGTAATATATGTTGCCACTGAATTCATCCATGTTCCATAAACCATCCCAGTTAATGTCCTGATCATGATTTGTTGCTTCTGGCAGAGCTGCGGAATTGTTGAACACTGAGTAGAGGAAGACTTGATGATGATCATCAATTGTATTGGGAAAGATAGTAGTTGCTGCTGCTGATGCATCTTGTTTCATCTGAGGCAGAGTTGGCACTCTGTTCTCATTTTCATCCAGTAACGACATAAGCCTCCTCATGTCAAATACTTGAGTTTGTTGTTGCTGTTGCTGTTGCTGTTGCTGCTGCAGCAGCTGTTGCTGCTGAAATTGTTGCCTTCTCAGAAGGCGTGCTTTTGATTTTTCTGAGTTATCAGACGAGACTTTTGCCTTTTTCTTGAAATGAGTCCTCCAGTAGTTCTTGATTTCATTGTCTGTTCTTCCTGGCAGGCTTCTAGCAATTGTCGACCACCTATATTTGTCAAGGATAGCCCACAAAATCAGCTGCTTATCCTAGACAATCTTCTTATGAAATTTCATTTCAAAAGCTTGTTATATCCAAATCCTCACCTGTTTCCCCACCTAGCATGGAGCTCTAGAATTACTTTTTCTTCATGAGGGGTTATTTGGCCCCTCTTGAGATCTGGCCTCAAGTAATTCACCCACCTCAATCTACAGCTTTTCCCATTTCTTTTCAATCCTGAACAGAACACCAAAATCAACCATCATCTGGTCATAAGCAGTGCTCTTTCTAATCGCAACACTCCCATGTATATGCATGCAAAATAAAATGCCAAGAATGAAGAATTCTAGCTTTACCCAAGTGGGATTTGACATGCATTAAAAATGCCAAAAAGACAGCAGGTTACAAGATTCTAGTTGGTGAAAAGTCGGTGAAGTAGTAGTACACGATACTAATAGAATTAGTAAGCAGGCAAGTTGCTTAGTATATTAGTTACCTGCAAGTCTAGCGACAGAGTTCCATCTGCCTTCACCATGCAACTTGACATATTCAATGAGTAATCTGTCTTCTTCAGCAGTCCAAGGACCCTTTCTCCACCCTTCCTCCATCACACCCCAAACCAATTGTTCTGCTGCCATCACTTCCCAAGACATGAAAAGCAAAAGCTAAAAAGGCTCTTGTTTAGTAGCTGTATTAGGTGTTCAGTTTGTCCTCAAAATTCTGTGACACAATGTGCTAGTGTTCGTTACATATATATATATATATATATCTGCACTTTGAACTATGATTCATCCCATCAGTCAGTCATCATGTCCTTTTCAAATCATCACTACTATCCTTCCGTCCTCGAGTGAGTAAGCCAAAGATGATCTCTGTCATGCCAATTTTATCCGCTAAAGTTACCAAACTGCCCTCATCCACTCCTGTTTGATGAGCATTATGATGTTTCCAAGTTTAATCTTTAAACATGCTCTGGTAACGTGTCAATAGCACTGTTCCAAAGCCTAGGTCAAGAAGATTAGTCAGGTGACCGTAAAGTCTTTATTTTCGCTCTGATGTCACCCTTATTCCTTATTTTCTTGTGAAAGAAAGAGGGAAAAAAATAAAACGAGTGCCAATAGCACTCTGATTAATATAAATCGTTGATCAAATTTGATTAGGATAATTGGGAATTTGTTTGACAAGGGGTGGTTAAGGGGTCTAAAACTTGCCAATCTATTTGGTGACAAGATTGGATTTCAAGAAAATCAGTGGAGTATATTTGTTGATGTTAAATATTCTTAAAGGATGAACTCAAATTGGCAAAATCAATGGCCACGTGTTGCCTAGGCCTTATAGATTTAGACACAAGGAAAGCCACAAAGCATTGTGTTTCTAATCCTAAGAAAATTAAAATATACGTGGGTGGATAATTCTTTAAGCTTGAAAGTTACTGGAGTCTCAATGGATGCGAAACAAGTGTGCGATTTGCTTACTTCTTAAGGAGATAGATGCATGAAAATCACCATCATATCTCGATTTTTTTAACTTTGTTGGATGCCATTTTAGGCTTTTAGCACATGAAATAGTCGAGTAACTATTGTCCTAGGACGTCACAAAGGGAACAGGTGGTGCTTGTGTGATGATTTTGGGGGAAGTGCTTTGGTGAGTAATGAAAATTACACACACAAAAAATCTCTACAACATTTTTTTTTCAAAAAAAAATAATAAAGAGAAGAGCCTAGACGAACAATGGAGTTTATGAAGTGTGTAAAACTTCCTTTAAAAAAAAATAAAGGATGATAAAAACTAGTTATGATCAATGGCAAGAGGGAATGTCTAAATCAATGACCCTCCATTTTAAATTCACATCCCCCTATTTTAGAACCACAATAAGTATAATTCTTAAAATTCGTGGTGTAAATATTTTAATGCATGAAATTTGTGAATTTAGAAGGGAATGGTTTGGATTAATCCCGTGTGTATAACACCATGAGTTGATAAATTCTCCAATGAAGTTTTTTTATAAAATCCTATTGGCTTTGTCTAATTCTCAACGCTAATAAAGGCCCTAATTGCAAAATCTAAAGCAGCTGATTATAGCCCCTACAAATCAATTAGAACTGCATTTTTTTTTTTGGTTTTATAAATCAATTGGATCTTCACGCTGAACTGCTCATTCATAGGTCAAAAATATCATCATTGGATTCCTAACATATAGTTATAGTTTTGCTAATTACATTTTACACCTTCAAATTTATAGTAATTGACATTTTGCATCTTTAACAATTATATTAGAACTATTAGACGGCGATACAGTAACACTGTCCTTAAAATTGCCACCGGACTTGAACTTTTTAATAACAAAAGTATGTTTAATAAAGCTAAACAAAAAATTATTCAATAAAGTGATCATTTTTTCTTCACTCTACCCTTTTAATTAACTATAATTAAGTACAGAGTGTTTAGCTTTTTATGTTCATTATTCGGCGCAAGATATAATTGAATCCAATTAATGATATTTTTAATAAAGGCATCACAGCAAATCCTCTGCTGTACGGTAAGATCGAAAAGGATGACATGCAAAAACACTACTTTTCAGTAGCAAAGCGCGTTGAAGAATAAGTTAATGGTTTCACTTCTTGTCTAAAAAGTTGAAAGTTCTATTAAAAGCCGAAGGAACTTTACGTTTTGTTAAGTGGTTTTATTCTCAGATCTTTTGCATAATTTATATTTTAATCCACTCTGGCTGTCATTTCTGAGGTGATTTGGATAAGAGCTTGGAGATTGCGGAGAGAGACGGGCTATCTTAAACAACTACGTAGAGCATAATCACTTTTGTTTTTCTTAAGCTTAAGGGAATGTTGGGACATGCCATCATTCTTCTAGAAGCA